TTTGGCGTGTAGCGACCCGTGTCAGTAGAGGACAACTGGAGATGCTGAAGAATCCATCCAAGGCACTACTTGACAAAGGGAATGATCCCCTTCACAAGGCGACAAGGCAGCTTGAGGACGAAACCAGTCACCTCGCACCACATCGGCAGCATGCCCCCACGTGGGCGCACGTGGTCCTGTCCCCTTAGCCTAGTATAAATACTCATGTAAACCTCAGAAAGAGGGATCCGAATTCACTCTCTCTAAATTCCCTTGTAAAAGCACCCGTGCATTCTCCGTTATAATATAAAGTGGGCTACAGGTGTTCCACCTAAAGTCCTACCGGTCAATCTGCGTGTTTTTACCTTTCTTACTTTGCCAAATCAAGCAAACTATTCTAGACCCGGTCTAGTATAGTTTGACCGGTCAAGTAATTTACACCATCAGGTACTACCATAGGTGCACCCATACTTCGCACAGACAAACACAGACAATAATTGTCTGTGTCGCACAGACAATTATCGTCTGTGTTTGTCTGTGCGAAGCATGGGTGCATCCATGGTAGCACCCATGTGGTGGCACTTTAGCATTTTCCAATGAAATAAAACCTCACAGACTCCTAGTTGCCAGGTGTGGACACGTATAATTAGCAGTTGTGGTCGGCCTCAAATAATAAAAAAAAAATTTGGCCCAGTCTAAAATTTATATTTCTGGCCATATTTTATTATTTTAGAAATTTTTTATTTCAAAACTAATGATGAATTTAAAAATATGGGGTCGTAAAATTTTAGGGACTTTGTGTGATTGACCACTTTGCACACTTTCAACCCACCCATGATCGACTGAACCACGCTAAATTTTGCATCATTTATTTTATTCAATAGATTCGCAATTGTGTGTGTTCATACCGTGTGTGTTTGTCCCAACATAGTATAGAAATACTATACGTTGCATGATTTTTTAGGGTAATTTATACAAATGAGATTTAAACATATTTTTTCTCAAAATATGACTAGTCATATCTACTACTCCCTCCGTTCTCAAAAACACTTCCTCTTTCATTTTTTCCACTTCCAACAAAACACTTCCCCTTTCTATTAAAAAACCACTTTTACCCTTACTTTTTCATACCCTACCTATCACATCATACTTTTTCTCTAATAATCTATCCATCACATCTTACTTTTACCCATCACATCAGGGGCAAAATTGGAAATCAATTATAATTTAACACTTTCTTATTTTTGCCCCCAAATCAAATGGGAAGGGTTTTTCCAAACGGAGGGAGTATAACGTTTGGCAATAGAAAGTTCTAAAATATCATACCTTTTTAAAAACATGCAATTTGAACCAACACTTTGTGTCAGTGTGAACCATCAAATAAAGTACAAATTTTGGGTTACATGTACTATGTTGATTTTTTTTTTGAAAAAATAAAAAGGAGGGAAAGAGAGTAAGAGGGTGTTTGTTTTTTCTACAGGAAAAGGTCTGCGGTCTGCGGACCACTACTGTAGACATCTGCAGGAGAAGTAGTGGACCGAAGGTCTGCGGTCTGCAAGAAGAAGACTGTTTGTTTTTTTAATGTCTGTAGACTGCTATATAAATTAATGGTGGTAGTGTACGGTGGTGGTGTATGGACGATTGTGGTGGTGGTGGAGGGTGGTGGTGGACGGTGGTGGTGGTGGCGGTGGATGGTGGCGGTGGTGGTAGACGACGATGGTGATGGACGGTGACGGTGATGGTGGACGGTGGCGGTGGACGGTTGTGGTGGTGAAGAGAAGTAGAAAAAAAAGGAGAAGATGTTAGAAGATGTTAGAAGACATTGGTTAATGTCTTCTCCAAGAAGATGCTAGGAAGACCTTTTTGAGTGAAATGTCTTCCAAAAAACAAACAACAGAGTCCATCATCTGCGCGCGTCTGCGCGGCGCAGACAAAAGACGCCAGAAGGTCTTCTGGCAGAAAAACAAACACCCCTAACAGAGAGGAGACAGTAGGTGTTGGATAGGGAATGCTCGGAGTAAATACGAGACGAGCTAATTAAGGTAGGATCAATCATTTGTAGCTTCTTCACGTACTATCAATTTATTGGCATAGGCCGTACACGCGCACAGGGGTCTGGTCCCTTATTTTAATAAGCTAAGCTAGCTGCTCATTTCTGAATCCACTACGTACGTACTATACTAGGGGTATAGTGGTATCCTTGTGTGTATAGGGTAATACTAGGGGTACTGATGGATACCCAATATTTTCCCAAAGACTGTAGATCGGCCTAGGTCCAAATATAGGTATCCGGGCCTTATAATATTGAAAGATAATACGAGAATAATAATTAATAGTAATAGAAGCACTGCGCACTAGATAATAACTCAAATCGGCGGTCCTCTCCTTTATTCGGTCCTCTCAGGAACGGAATATGCTTGAGGATCGCCAGAATATCTTTTATTATTTACTCACGTATTTTCTCCCCTCATTACAAGATATCCTCCATTCCCCAAGTCCCTCTTTCTTTTATAGGCACTCCCCATCCATTATCCTCTTCAATAATGGCAGTGATTGGGGGAATATTCGTGCCAGCCTTCCTCCATCTGGGGGGATGTATCTCAGCTTGAGGCCGTCCACTGGAGGACAAGCCTGTCCGTCCATCTCTTGCTCCATGTCCGTCCCTTTCCCCTTGTCTTTGTCCCTTCAATTAGGGGGGACTGCTCTAGACTCTTCCATACGATTTCTTTCCTTTGGGGTAGCTTATTCTTAGTGGGCTGGGCTTCAGCCCATTCTTAAGCCCCCAATCCTTTTCCTTTTTCCTATCTTTCCTCACGGATAACTTCCCTTGACTGACCCAATATATTTTCTCTGGGTTGGACACTCCTTTTGATGGACGGAATCTAAATTGGGCCTGGGCCCAATTCGCTAGTATTCTCTCGATGGGCTTGGTTCCCATCACATACCCCCTTTTTTTACAAGTCAAAAAATAAAAGATTTTTTGACTGTAGTCTTTCTCGCATGCTCTATTAGAAAGTTTCTCCTCCCACCCTAATTTTTTTTTTGACGAAGATCCTCTTTTTGGGGAAAACCCCATCATTCCCTTTGTATTTACTGCGGATGTTTTCTGTAGCGCATCTTTGCGGGCCACGGGCCTTGGATGAATAATTGGCCGACTGGAGTGTCTTTTGGTCACACACTCCTTGGATCGTGGTGCCGCATATCTCTCCAATCACTGCCTGGAGTGCCAATGGCCCACGTCACCTTAATAATGGCTGACCATAGCAGGAAAAATGGGTGACAACAGAGGGCCGCAGACCTGGGGAATTGCCAGTGTGGACCGCCTGGAAGTCTGCGCCACTTAAATACCCATGGCCCATTTTTCCGAACCCCTTTTGACCGGTCCCTCTGATTCCCTTAACTGCTGCGTAGGGCCGTTTCGAAACAGGTGCCATTCAAAATTCTTACCGTTGCAAAGAGATATTGAGGGTGGACCGTTTCTTCTCCCTCTTCTTTCTCTCTATAAATACGGTCC